ACCCCCGGCTCCCCACGGGGCTCTCACTGGACCAGGCCTCTGGGCATTCATTTTTCCCTCCATGTATGGCTCCATGACCCCCAGTTGCTGGGGTCTCTTATTAAAAGGTCAGTTCAGAGTGACAGGCCTGGTCTCCTGTATTCACTATGGGAACACCATCAGCTCCCTCCAAAGCACTACCCAAGCTTTGTTAAGATTTTACATTTAGTTATATCTCTTTATTCCTGGCCTGATGACTACCAGTTCCACAAGGGCAAGACCCCCAGGCTCCACCTAAGGCCTATTACAGGGCAGAGGGACAGTTTCAAAGTCTGGATTCAAGTGGAACATCCCATGGATCAGGATCCTGTGCAGAAGCTGACACCGCGGACCTGCCTACATCTCTTGAAAGGCCAATATGCAATGGGGCCTCCACCCTGGGCCCCAGCATCTCTGCAGAGGACCCTGCCCCACACAAGCAGGGCCACCTGTGGTTACAGAGCCGCCAGGCCCTGCACTGCTAGATCCTCATAGGGGCAACTCAGTGCCCTCAGGTGTGGGCAAAACCTAACAAAGTTATGCTTCATTAAACAGGTACAAACCTGATGAGTGCTTCCTCCCCACCCAGGAAGAGGTACCACCGCCAGCCACTGAATGTGCCACACTCCTCTCGCCCCTAAGACTAGGGCCGCATGTCTCCTCACCACTCAGCACAGAACACCAACACTCAGCAGGAACACTCTGCTGGGGGGACCGAGGCCATGGAGATCTTTACACTGCTGCCCCCAGCCTGGAGCACGGTACTCAGCACACAGGGCCACACCGTGGACTCAACAACCAAATGAACCGCAGTGTTGGCCCCCAAGACAGCCTCTCGAAGGTACTGCTGACCCCCAGGGAGTTGGGCCCCCTTTCCCATGCTCACCTCCTGGGGCCCTGTGCCTTTGGCTTCCCCACTGTGCTCTGCAGTTGGGGCTTCTATGCCCACCCCGTGCATAGAGGTGGGGGGAGTCTTACCTCGCCGTGGCTCCCGCTACAGGACTTTCCCCCCTCACCCCTCATGCAAACCCCACAACACCCTGCTGGACTCCACCTGGGGACACAGCCAGCCCCTTGCACTCACCCCTGTCCCCACCACCTGCCCCGGGTCCCGAGTGCAGCCTGAGGGCCGGCGCCGAACCACATCAGAGCCCCGGACACTGATACATAAGAGATGCTGTCCCTCCCCGTGAAACCCTGAACCCAAACCATCCAGGCCATCCGTTGGTACATCTAGTCCTACAGACTCCCGGGCCTCTGTGCAGCAAAGAGGCCCTCACACCAGATCACCAGGCCGTGCCCGGGCACCACAACCCACCCCCACCCCCAGAACTGATTCTGAATGATCCTCGGGTTCCCAAAGTTCAGAGGCATGCTGTCAGTGGAAAAGGACTGCCACACTGGCAGATATATACAGACGTGTGGGGCAAGCTGCATCAGGCCAAAGAAATAAGCTCGTGTCTGCCTGTTAAAAATTCTAAGCTTCTATCCCAAACTAGAAACAAATCAAAGGTTCAACTGGTGACTAGATAAAACAGTGTCTCACATCATCCATAGAGTGGGGTAGTACTCAGGAACTAATAGTGATGAACAATAGTGATGAACCACCAATACTTGCAACAACGTGGATGAGAAGCCAGATTCAAAACCACACACACATTTAGAAGCAACATCCCATATAAATCTATTCATATGACTTCCGTGGAAAGCCAAAACTACAGGGACAGAGAACGGATTAGCGGTTACCAGGGACTGGAGATAGGAGAGGTGCTGACTACAAACGGGTGAGTCTTGAGGGTGAAAGTGACTTTTCTCTAGCTAGATTGTGAGGTGGTTACATGACTCTCTGTATCTGTCAAAACTCAAAGGTTTTTTTTTTTTTTAAACTGGATACAAACTATACCTTGACAAACCTGACTATGAAAGTGTACATATAAATCAATAACTGAAAGATTTAATGGTGAAGAACCGTAGTGTGAGCCACTTACTTTCAAGAGGCTCAAGGAACCAAGCAGAGCAACTGACAAAACAAACGGGGCAGAATAACTCTCATCAGGGGCTCGGGTGGAAGGATTCTTGCCACTCGCACTCACAGAACCATCACCAACAGCCCCAAAGGCAGGCATGTCTCAACCTGGAGTGGACAGCTGGACGCTGCTGTATCTGGACAGACAGAAATGTCACTGAGACACAAGAAAACAAGGCTGCAGAGGAGGGAGGGGGGAGAGAGCAGAGAGGAGACGGTGGCGAAGGCCCCATCCTCAGTGGCACCGCAGTCTGGCCCCGAGGGTGGCCCGGGAGCCTCAGGTCCCATCCCTGGGGGTTGGGCTGCAACTCTGTCCAGGAGAGGAGGAGACGGCTGACCTCCCGCCTTTATCAGGGTCATTACTCTGGGCCCGTCGTAAAGGTTGAAGTTTTATTTTCTGACCACCCAAATTCGATTCTGGAATGGTTTTTCCAGGTTCAACACTCATTTTTAAAAAAACAACATTTATTCATTTTGGTTGCACTGGATTGTCATTGCTGCATAGGGCTTTCTCTAGTTGTGGTGAGTGGCGACTACTCTCCAGTTGTGCTGTCAACACTCACTTTGAACCTACTGAGACTTGACTTGAGATAGGGCATGATACTGATGCTCTCAGAATGTTTATGGCCAGAAATGGAAATGTGCCACTCTGATTTGCTTTGGGTTTTCATTAGGGTGTCTCAAACCGTGCTGTCCAATGTGGTGGTCACTGGTCATGTGTGGCTACCAGGTGCTTGAAATGGGGCTTTAAGTAGAAAATAAGCACCAGATTCCTTAGACTTAGTATATATATTTAAAAAAACAAACTATCACAATTTTTTTTCATCTGTTTATTACTTGCTGAAATGGTACTCTGGACATGAATATACTGGATTAAATAAAATACACTGGTAACATTAATATCATCTGTTACTTTTTACTTTTTTCTAATATGGCTACTAGAAAAATTTTATGTAGCTCTGCTGTGTTCTTCTCGGACAGCATTGGTCTAGAGCGCAAACTCTGAACCTCCAGGAGGGGGCAGCCCTCAGTCAGAGATGACTCAGTTCTTCAAATGAGAAATGAAGGCAGCATTACTTTTACTACTCCTTACCCTGAGAATGACTCACAGATTCTAGCCAGCTACCAGTTACAAAACCCTACTCCTAGGCTCACAGGCCACAAGGTGTCCCAAAGATGAGGACCTCCTCCCTGCCACTCTCCCAGTGAGGCGCGGACGTGCTCCTGCTCTGGTTGTGCAGGGATCCCCTCAACCCCGCAGGCAGCCCCAGGCCCCATCCAAACAGTGAAGTCACCAATGGGTGGATTCTTGGAAGCTGGCTAAGGCACTGATTCTTCCCATTATCAAAAAATAGCGCGTCTCCTCAAACCTTCTGGGAACCAGAAGGCGGGAAAGCCTTCACCTGGGAGAACACATTCTCTCACACCCAATCACCCTACTCACACCCATTCACCTTATGATGAAGTGAAGTGACGTGAAAGTCGCTTCTACTCTTTGCGACCTACAGTCCATGGGATTCTCCAGGCCAGAATACTGGAGTGGGTAGCTGTTTCCTTCTCCAGGGGATCTTCCCAACCCAGGGGTCAAATCCAGGTCTCCCGCATTGCAGGTGGATTCTTTACCAGCTGAGCCACCAGGGAAGCCCATCACCCTATGAGAGGTGTCAGGAAACCAAGCACAGGAACCGGGACCCCCAAAGTCCTCAGTGTGACTCCCCAGGGAAAACTAAGGACATGAGGATGAGTTTCAGACGTCCTCTGGCTGGTAAGGAAGCCCCGATACCTCACTGGAGGGGGTCCCCCATCCTCAGAGCTCCCAATGCCCTGTACTTTTTCTACTACATAAAAGACGGGAAAAAACATTTGACTTTTCCACCAAAACAGAAGCCATCTGAAGCCTCACTTCCTCTCTGTGCTCCCTGGGATCTTGGAAGGCCAGCTAGGAAATCACGAGGTGTGTTCGGAGACACACCAGGCTACATTCCTCTCAGGGAGCCACTCCCCAGTGAATACCGCCCCGGGCAGAGAGAAGACACACACGTGACCGCAACCATCCTCCCTGAAGAGCATATCGTCCCCACTCCCTCCTGAACACATCCCAGCTCCAGGTCAACGCAGCTGGCATCCTGGTCCTGCACGGAGGCCAAGCCCCTGGCTGTCCCAGTCCCTGTCAGCCCGGGCATTACCTTGTCCAAGAGCTCTCGGGTCTCTTCGGTTAGGGGGTCGTGAGAAAACATGCAGTCGTCACCGTTGATACAGTTCCCAGTCGTGTGGTACAGCTTACACGGGAAATCACGTTCACGGCAAGTTAAGGCGAATGCCTCACCTCATGAAATCCACCCCAGGACAGAAATCAAGTCCCTCTGTTTCAGAGAGGAGGAAACTGAAGCCCAGAGAGGTGCAGTGACTGGTTCAGTGGTGCACAGCAGGCTGGCAGCTGAGCCAAGGTGAGATGCCTGTCTGGACTGCAGCCCACTCCACCACGCAGGTCTTGAGGCCCTGTCCTCAGATCCTCACTCAATGGGAAGAGGGTGAAAGTTCAGTGATCTGCCCACAGTTTCACAGCCATTTGGAAAAGTCTCAGAAAGACAGCAGGCAGTGGCCTGGTCTCGGGAACATACCTGACCCCTGAATGACATGGGGTTTGGGGCGCCAGCCCTCTGCCCAGTCAAATGTAGGAGTGTAGTTTATAATCTGTCCTTCACACCCTCGGTTTTCATCTGTACCAAGGGTATGGAGAATATATAAATTATACTAAAAAAAAATTATACTCAAATTTTTGGGTCTTAAGATCCAACCAACTGCAGATCCTGCAGTACTGTGGTATTTACTACCAAAAACAATCCATCGATGAGCAGACCTGCAGAGTTCAAACCCACGCCACTCAAGGGTCAACTGTGTATGTATGGGGAACACATAACATGCGCACCTCAGTTTACTCAGCTGCAGAATGGGAAGAGCAGACCCGTTGCAGGGCAAAGGTGAGGGCTGAAAGAGATGGAGATGGGCAGAGGGCTCTTGGCACCTCATCGGCACACAAAGCGGAAGTGTGGTGAAGGCCAGCTGTTAACACCAGTAAGGAGAAAAGGTCTACATCCTCCATGAGCTCAAAGGCGGGCACTGAAGGATATCATGCATGTAGGGGCAGTTCTCGGCTCTGGCACAAAACCCAGTGATGTAAAACTTGCACAGTTCTCGCTTCTTTGGTAGCTCGATGTCGTGGCTAAAATTACAGTGGTCTCCCTGGAAGAGAACCAGTGAAAGGTAAGCTGTTCGCCAAGGAAGTACTGCTGCGTCACTGGGGAAGCACAGAGGGACTGATGACAAAAATGAGCAGTCCCCTCCACACACCCCCTGGCATTTATTCAGACAATAAATGCAGTTTCCCACCAGCTTGAAACTTCTGCCAAAGCGTGTGCCCCTTTCTCCTGCCCCTGCCTCCCTCCCCCTTGCCCTCAGTTACCCAACCCCCAGCCTGCTCCATTCTGCTGCCTTTCACTGCTTCTAACTCCTCCTCCTGCCTTCCCCTCTCTTACCCACTTATTGCTTTCTGTTTGCTGCATAACAGCCAGTATTCAGTTTCACTCTTCTTTCTTCCTAACAGAACCCCAAGCTGGTTTGTGTTCAGTTAAAAATACTCTATTTCCCAGCTTCCTATGCAGTTCTGCCCAATGAGATGTGCATAAAAGTCCCAGAGAAGATGATACTGCCAAGACATTTTTCTTCCCAACAATTCCTGCACAGTTTTCATCCTCCCAGACCTTAGTTGTGATGCCTAGAGGCATAGCAACCACTACGCAACCATGAGGACGAAAGCCACATGCTTAAAGATGCCAGCATCAAAACTAGGAAGGAACCCGGGTCTCCCATGGGTCTCTCATCACTATACCTGCCCTGTAGTGCCCACTCCCAGACCCTTTGATCTTTTTTTTTTTGGTCACATGACACGACACACAGCATCTCAGTTCCCCAACCAGGCATAGAACCCGTGCCTGCTGCAGTGGAGGCACAGACTCCTGTTAGGACTGGACAGCCTGGGAATTCCCACACTCTGTTCTAAGAGACAAATGTCTATGGGTTTCAGCCAGTGGAGTTGAGCTTTTGGCTATTTGCAAACTGTACAATCCAAACAAAACAACATCTAGGTGAACAGAAGAAAGGAACTGTTCAATACTTGCTACCTCTTTCTCTTCCTAATAGCTCCTCATTTTTGTTTGTATGTATTTCAAGTTTCTAAAAATAGTATGAATTGCAACTCTTCAACAAGGAAAACTTTATGCGCGCGCACACGCACACACACACACACACACACACACACACACACACACACACACCCTTTGCTTGAAACATAGTAACGTTCTTTCTGGACACAGATACATAGGTACAGTATTCCCTGGGAACATGTTGGCCAATATCTGCCCACTGACTGAATTTGAATAAGAAGCTGGCTGGCTGAAGGAACACTGGATTATACTTGTTTCCTTCTGGACTCTGAGGCCACTGGCCCATCTCCTGGCATAACACTCTGCTGTGAAGGTCGAGGAGGGCCTGATCCCTTCCCACTCCCACCTCTTCTGCCTTGATGACTCCGTCTCCAACATTAAAGCTTACTAACTCAACCAGGCTATGTTACACCTTTGCATTAGCGTCAGGTCTAACAGAACATTTGACGCTACATGGATTGGGTGAAAATTTTGGCCAAAAAAACCCCCCAACCAAAATAACTCAGATGTGTCACCAATCTCGTCCTGGCTCTTCAATCATTTCCAGGCCCCCCACACATCTCTCAACCACTCCAAGCCCACCCAAACACTGCCCCAGAGAGTGTGGCCTCCAGAATGAAAGGAGATCAAGAGGCCCATGCGTCCCGGCTCCAGGCACCCTGGTCCTGGGACTGCCCTTACCCACGTGCACCGCCCTTCCACGAAGTATTTGCAGATGACTTTGCCTTTCTTGTCAGACTGCTGGTGGGGCTTGTCGTGGTCACTCCTCCGGTAGCTCCCACCACCATCCTATTGGGAATACAGTGGGAATGGAAAGAATTAAAAGGAAAGGTGGGGAGGGGCCTGTGCAGGCCAGGTGGGGCGGGCTCTGAGGGTGAGAGGGGCTGACCGGCAGGGCTGACAGGGGCACCAACCAGCCAGCTCCATCCAGTGCCCAGGTGGGTGGGTTAGAACCCCGCTGCTCAGAGCTGAGGACTCGCGTGCCACACGCCCGCAGGAGCGCATCCGCTCCGAGGCGGTGCCTTCCTGGAGAGCTCAAGAGAGCAGGTGACTGCAGGTGCTACAAAGATGTGGCTTTAAAAACAGAGGGTCTCTCCCGCAGAGCATCACCCAGGAGAGCTGATTAGTGCCAAGAGGCACCCCCTAGGGAACGGCTGATGGGAGCAGGGGGATGGGATCAGCCTCAGGAGACAACTCATTTAAAGAAAAAAAAATTTTCAAGGAGCCTTGAGTAAGAGCATCACAAGGGGACAGAGGGTCGACTTACGCCCATGTCGTCGTCATAGAAGTCTTCGTCGTCGTTCATCCCGCCCTTGTTCATCCCACCTCGGCTGCCTCCTCGACCACGGCCCCGGCCCATCCCTTTCCCTCGACCTCGGGAACCCCGGCCGCGGCCTCGACTTAACCCTGCAGAGGAGAGAGACAGCGTTCATCCGCAGCCTCTGCCCAGGACCCGAGCCCTGCTGCTGCCAGGAGGAGCCCCTTCCCTCCCTGCTGCCTTGACCCTCGGAGCCCCTACCCACCTCGCCCTCGGCTGTCCTTGGACCGGCGGTACTGGTTCAGCTCCTTGGAATAATCGTCATAGTCCTCATCTCCCATCGGCTCCTCACTCTCTCCATACTGGAGCCCCGAGCGGAGGAAAGCAGGGACGTGTCATTTGGGGAACGATGAACCATGTCCTCAACTATACATGCCACCTCCTTCTGCCTTTTTGTACACTTGGGACAACACCAGACTGGGGAAGGGCCATGAGCAGCCCCGGGACTCACACCTGTGCCCCTCTTCACCCACCCCAGCCTGGGCAGTGTCTGGGTCCTAGTCCTTTCCCTGAGGTGTGTACTCTTAGGACTCCCAGCCCCCTGTCCCCGCTAGCTCCCAGGGGACAGCAGTGCAGCTAGAACAAGAAGTAGCGTGGCCGGGCCTCGGGCAGGGACAGAACATGAGTGTGGCAGCTCTCCTGTGTATGTGTAGGGGGTGAGTAAACAGATGACTACAAAGGCTTCAAAAGAACCCTGGGGAACCCTTTCTTCAGGGACAGGGAACAGAGGCTCCGAGAGAGAGGAGCGGCTGGAGATGTTCTGACAGCTCAGCCCTTGGAACCTTTTCAATTCTGAACCTCCGGAAGCTTCTCTCTATTCAAACAACAAAGAAACATTTGGAAACACAGAAAGAAACCTGCCATCTGATGCCTTCCTCCCAGTAGTCTCAGAGACACCTCCAACAGAGCCTGCACCCACCAGCCACACTCCCCTGGCCCCCGAGCTGGAGAAAGCCTTACGTCCATCTCTTCCTCGTAGAAGTCCTCTTCATCCTCCGGGTGGTCTCCTCCCACGGAGCCTCTGCCCCTGCCTCGGCTGCCCCTGCCCATGCCTCGGCCTCGAGACCCTCCGCGGCTGCCTCGGCCTCGGTAGCCCCTGCCTCGGCCCCGGCTGCCTGCATGGTGATCAGACAGTGAGCAAGGGAGAAGTCAATCCCCATTTGCCCAAGGTCAATCACTTCCTCCTCCTCCTCCAAGAAGCCTTCCCAGCTGCTCTGGGCTGACACACAGTCCCTGGGCCTCTGGACAGGGCTGGCTCAGCGCCATGGACACACAGCTGCCGCACGCTCCCCCACGACCCTGACTGCTGCACTCTCCCACACGAGGGCACCAGGCACACGGGGCCACCGAGCACTCAGTATGGAGCTGACCAAACTAAGATGCTGTAACCCCAGAACCCTACTGCCCTCTCCTGCATGAAGTGAGTTTCAATAAATGTTTGCGGTTTTAAATGAAAAACTAAAAAAAAGAAAAAGAAAATGCTGTGAGTATAAAGTGCACAGTAGATTTCACGACTTAGTTAGAAGAGAGCAAGAGAGAGATAATAGATATTTATAAAAAAATCACATCTATTTTGACATGTTGAAATAAGATTTAGAATGTATAAGCATCATAAAATGTGTTGTTAAAATTATTTCACGTTTTCTTTTATGTTTTTAATGTGACCAGTAGAAAATTTGTAATTAGACAGTGGCCTGCACTGTATTTCTGTTGGACAGGCCACTCCAGTGTCTCCCCAAAGAACAGGGCCTATCTACAAAGAAGTGCAAGAAAGACTGCTGAATGACCAGCCACTCAAACAAGCAGTCTGAAGAACCGCTGAGCTGGCAAGTTCTGGAAGCCCTCTGGGGCTGGGAAATATGACTAGCAGATGGTTCTGAGAGGTCAGGCTGGGTCTCTGGTGTGCGGCCCGCCCCCATCCTCCTAACTGCCACAGGTTCAAGGTTCGGAGGTGTGGCAGTCCCGTGGGCCGTAGTCACACCTTGTCAGGTGACAGGAGACGGGCGGCTGGGCAAGGAGGCGTCAGCTGTCTGCGACCCTCCCACGCTGTGCGAAAAGCTGTCTCTTCGAAACTGACCAGGAAACGAATTTACAGAACAACCCTTCAGAGGATTCCCCAGGGGTCCGGTAGTTGGTTAGCACTCAGCACTTTCACTGCCGGGCCTGGGTTCTATCCCAGCCCCCCCAAAGCAACCTTAGCCGCAAGAGCACTATCTCCTTGCCTCATGCCGGCCTGGCCCCCTCCCAGCCACAGCCTCAGCACAGACCCTCTACTCCGGTGGCGGAGCCCCGGGCTCTGGGGCTCGCGGGGCAGCTCCCCGCCCAGCCCCCGCAATGCTCGTCTCAGCCCTGAACGACGGTGCTCCTCTCGAGCTGCACGGGCACGGGCTGCAGCCCAGCGGGCCAGCGGAAGCGGCGGGCCTCACCTCGGCCCCGGCTGCTGCCCTCCTTGGCGCGCCGGTACTGGTTCAGCTCTTTGGCGAAGTCGTCGTAGTCGTCCTTGCCCAGGTCCTCCTCCTCGTCGCCCTCGTACTCCCCGTACTGCTCGTTCTCGTAGTCGTCGTACAGGCCGTAGCCCTTGCTGTCCAGCTTGGGGTAGGACTTCTTGGGCAGGGGCGTTGTGTGAGAAGGAGGGTACTGCTGGTGGGACTGACGGGGAGATGACAGTGAGCCCCGGGGCCTCCGGCTGGGACCAAGACCCCCGCTGCCCCCCAAACTGGCACGTCTGTCTGGGTGTCTCTGCTGGCCCTGGGATGAGAGGCTAGCCCCAAGCCTTGCTGGGTGCTGGCTCCCACCGGAATGAGAGCTGGGCTGTGGGCCCAGGTGTCTCTGTTCTTCAGAAAGAACCACAGTTGTAAAGACAACTAAGAAACAGAGGCCCCATGACCCCTGAAGAATGGAGTGGGAAATGAAGGGTGTATTTCCCAGGGATCTAGAACAATCTCATTTGGGGAGGGGGCTTGCTAGGCAAGAGGGATGCTCTCTAGTCAAAAATCTCCTGGGGCCTTGGAATTCAATTAATGACTACTTGGGACCCAAACTAAGGTAGCTCAGTTGGTAAACAATCCACCAGCAATGCAGGAGACCTGGATTTGATTCCTGGGTTGAGAAGATACCCTGGAGAAGGGAACGGCTACCCATTCCAGTATTCTCGCCTGGAGAATTCCATGCACAGAGGAGCCAGGGAGGCTACAGTCCATGGGGTCGCAAAGAGTCAAACACAGCTGAGTGACTTTCACTTTGACTTTTGGGGCCTAGGCTAGAAAACCATTTAAAATGATGCTTTACAACTGTGCTAGTTCCAACAGATACTGGATGAAGTTTAAAAATACACATATAGCACAAATGGAGGCCACCAAGATGTCCTTAAGTAGGTAAAACAGGTAAGCAAACTGCAGTACATTCAGATGGACTATCCAACTCCAATGGAGTATCCAACAATGAAAAGACATGGAGGGACCATAAAGGCGTCCTGTAAAGTGAAAGAAGTCAACCTGGAAAAGCTACAAACGAGTCCAATCACATGACTTGCTGGAATTGGCAAAACTGCAGAGACAGTAAGAAGACTGGTGAGTGTGAGGGGCCTGCAGAGAGACTTAAAGGGAATTCAACTACTTTATACGACAGTATACAGTGAATACATAACAGGATGTACCAACGGTGGCTAAACAATTACAACAAATGGACCACACTAATGCAAGACATTAAAAACAGGGGAATGGGGTGGGGTGGGGTGTGGAGGGGACTGGCCTACCTTCTCAATTTTCTCTGAACCTAAAACTGCTCTAAGCACAAGGTCCTACTGTATAACACAGGAAACTATATTCAACATCCTGTGACAAACCATGATGGAAAAGACGAAAAGAATATACACACATGTGTAACTGGGTCACTTTGCTGTACAGCTGAAATTAACACACTGTAAGTCAACTACATTCAGCACAATTTTAAAAACGAAAACGGCTCTAAAAGTGGACCTTAAAAAGCCTTAAGCCTTAGTTCCCAATCAAAGCTTGTGGTGTTCCCTGCATTCCCTGAAACCCTCAAGTTTAAAGTCTGTACCTATGTGAGTAGATTAACATCAGTTCAAATATCTACAATATCTGCTATGATGGGTGATGCTGAACACTGGATACTTTTAAGAACTTAAATAAATTTTTTTTTTTCAATAAAAACCTTAAATATCTGTGCTGATTCATTTCTTACTGGTTTTCCAGGGGAAAACAATACACAAACTGGACAAATAATTTAAATTTATGCTTAAGCTCAGTGCTATATAACTTTGGACTCCACAACATCTGAGGTGATTTATTCCCATAACCATTTCACTCTCTTGCCCATCTTCTACAAAAGGTCATTTCAGAAGAGTGTTAAAGTCAGCTCTGATGGGGACAAATCAACATCTTTCTCAGGGACAGGATACAGAAACGATGAGTCCTGCCAAGGCCACCGCGGAGGTGGCCTAGAGAAGCACAACCATCAGCTTCTGACTGGGCTCAACCCAGCTCCTGCCCTGGGAGCTTCAGCCTGGCTGAAGTGCTCTAAGTCTCAGTGTCCTCACCTCGAAAACGGGGGATACAACCAACACCTAATCCTGCAGAATTAAAATCCGTGTACAGGGCTGCACAAGAGTGCCCAGCACACCACCGGTGCTCAGGAAACGTCGGTGATTTCATGACCCCAGCTCCTGCCCATGGGGGCCCCGGGGCAGTGGGCACTCACCGGTGCGTAGGGGGGGCTGTACTCTCGGTATTTGCGGTGCCCCTTCTCGCTGGGGCTGAAGTCTGAGTCGTCCGAGAAGTCTGAGAAGTCATCGCTGGAGGAAGCGTGGCGCTGCAGGGACAGGACAGAGTCAGGGCTCCCGCGGCGGGCAAGCCACATGCCCGGCCACTGCAATGTGCCAGCCAGGCTGCGCGCGGAAGGCCTCACCTAGGGGCATCTAGTGGCAATGGAGCATGAGCTACCACTCTTCAGAAGAGGTCTTTAAACAGTTTGGGGAAAGGAAAACCAGCCTGATTAAAGAGTGCCCTCTGGCCTGACGAGCTGAGCTCGGGCCCCGGGGCACTAGGCCTGGGCCCAGCGCCAGCAGGCCTGGCGCGCCCTCCGGGACCTACTTTATGCTTGGATTTCCTCCTCTTCTTGGACCTCCTCTTCTCCTTCTCCCGCTCTTTCTTGCGCTTCCGCTTCAGCCTCCGGTGAGACTTCTCCTCGTCCGAGTCGCTGTGGTGCTTCTCCCCCTTCTCCTTCCGGCTCCTCTCGGGGCCCCCGGAGGTGTCCTGAGTCTCCTCGGCCCCATCATCTTCCAGCTCGCCTTCTTCCAACTCACCATCTTCCCTGTGAACCAACCCCATGGCTGAGTGAGCGCAGGGTCTGGGGGGCCCCATGGGGCTGTGGACCAGCAGGGCCCAGGACTAAGGGCGCAAGGCCTGCCTCCTGCCCCACCCCATAGCCCCCCGCCCCGACACCATTCTCTACTGTCTGTTGAGGTGGAGGACGGGGGGCCCGTGGAGAACAGGCTCTGGTCCCCGGGTCTCGAGGCCTGACCTGCTCCGTCAGCTCCACAGCTCTGGGCCAGAGGTGAGGAGCTAGGCAGGTGAAGAGGGGGAAAGGTCCCAGACCCCTCCCTGGGGTCCCTGCATGACAGGGGTAGGAGTGCCCACAGAAGGGCTCACCCCCACCTGCTGCTGGCCCCTTGTTTCCCACCTGGCTCGCCTTACCTACTGCATCCCCTCCAACTCCCTGTCCTACTGAAAGCCCTACATGTCACCCCGGTCTCCAGCACTTTAAGAAACAAAATCACCCTCTGCATGGGACAGATGCTGCTGACAGGACATGCTGAACATCTAAATATCTATGGGGTGGGGTGGGAGGTGGAGGGATAAATCAGGTAAAGAAAAGGAGCAGCTGGAAAAACAATCCAGTTTTTGGAGCCAAACCCACACAGTTCTCACAAATGCAGGAGTTGGTTTAAAAAAATAAACAAATATAAAAAAAGTCCAAAGCTCTCAAAGTTCATCATGCATGATGATTGCCAAGTATGTGTGTGTGAGCAAAAAAACTCCATTAACTAAGACCCACAGACAGAATGAAAAGATAAAGAGTAACATGACGGGCCCAGGACATGAAAGGCTAATCCCAAAGGGAATTAATCTCAGCAAAAAAGGCCCGAGCTATTCAGAAGGCACCAGCTCAGTGTGGGAACAAGCTCACTGGGGGGCTTAGCCCCTAGAGCCTCGAAGGTTCTAATGGGCTTTGCGGAGAAACAACGGCTGACCTCTCTGAGGATCCTCCAGGGCCTTTTCACACACAAGGCTCCCTTTGGGCATCTCCGTGCTGCCTGCCCCCCACCAATCAAGGGGACCCTCCCATTAACTCTCACTCTCAATTCAAAGGAGTTAGGGCGGCTTAAAACCCAAGGTGTCTAGGCCAACTGTTACTCCGTCGGCAGAGGTCAAAGGTAGTTCTCAAACACAAAATGCAGAACCAAAAAACTCCTACTGATGTTTCAAGGGAAACCATAGAGCAAGGTGACCCCGGAACCCTCCCGGCAGTCCTGGGCCAGCCGTGCAGGAAGAGTCTAGGCTGGAGAAGGCCACATTCCTGACAAGTGAGGCACCTCCTGGCTTGGGTGTGGCCCACACGAGAGTTGCTCCGTGGGAGCAAAGCTCTCCTGGGAAGAGGCGACTCTGCTGGAATGGCCTCACCCACAGTAAAGGCGCCACCAGACTGGGGAAACTGGTTCTGGCGAGCTCCAAGCTGAGGGGGAAGCTGTCATCCAGGGGCATGGCAAACTTCCTGCGGAGACCTGGAGTCCTGCAGGACACGGAGAGCAAACCCGTCCCCGCCGAGAACGTGGCTGGGCGGGCCAGGTCACCAAACCTCAGGCGATAAAAAGCAGGGACAGACAGGACTAGACAGATGGACACTATGGGACGAGGGAAGGCCCACAGACAGACTGGACAGGAAGGAGTTGGTGCTCTGTGAAGAAAAGCTAAAAGGAAAACAAAAAGCACCACTCTCCACACTTTAGTCCAGAAAGGGAAAAGTTAAAAGTATCCAGAACCACAGGGCAGGGAGGGAAGGAACCTGGGAAGACAGGGAACTGTCTGGGGGCCCAGAAGCCTGGATGAGCAGTCAAAGGTCGCAAAGAGCAAAATGCCCTCCTGGAGCCAGGAAAGGCCTGTCAGAGTGGACGGGATGGTGGGACACCGTCAACCCTCTCATTTTCAAACAGAAGGAACTTAAAGGGATGGCAGGTGAAAGGGTGTGTTGAGGTCAGACAGACAGAGTGACATGGGAAAAAGTCAGAAACTGGTTCTTAGCTCCCCGTTCTTTCCTTGATTGGTGAGAATGGAAAGAGAAGGGGGAGCAGCTCATTGACCGCCTCCTCCGATGCCACACACACTGAGCATCTTCTCTGTGCTGGGTCTTTGAGCACGCCCAGTTCTGTGCTGCCCTTGCAGGAAAAGATACAAATGACAAGAAGCCGAGTCCACAGGGCAGGCGAGCTGAGAGGTCTGGGATACAGGGCCAGGACCTGAGCCGGAGCGGCTGGCCCCTGCAGACACTCCTCTGCCCCTACGCTCATGGACGACGACGCCCCGGCACAGCACGCGCCAAGTCCTGCCCAGGGTCAGCTGCAACCTCCACCTGTGTGCTGCTGTCTCACACACACCTCACACTTGCCCAGGGAGTAAAGACCAGCCAAGCAACTTCAACAGCTTCAACCATCCTCGAGAGAGATCCCACAAGACCGCCTTTTCATTCCACAGGCTTTATCCAAGGCAGGGAATTCCAGCATTCAAATCCACTCTACAAAGACTTCTTTTAGCCAAAGACAGCTTCTCTGTATCATCTCTATTAACAGCCCCAGGCAGATCTACAACTTTTTACAAACTGGGGAGTGAATATTTGAAACTCTGTTCCCTGGGAGCTGGGAGCAGAAGCAAAATAAATAGCATTAAAAAAAAAAAAAAAAGTCCTGCTGATTTCTGAAGAAGAACAGGATACCAGAGGGGACGCGGGAATGAATGGAGACCCCTGACTGCCCACTGCTCCTTCTTCCTCCTCTCTGGCCACACTGTGCTCTCCAGCTTTTCCGAGGACTGGGCTCATCTCTGCTCACCTGAGAGGGTGCCCCTGGATAACACAGATTCCCAGCTAAACATCCTGGATGAACACAGGGCCTATTTCCTTCTATACCAGAAGGAAAAGGAAAGGGGGGTGTGGGGTGGAGAATCACACCAACTGGGATGGAGGCAGAAATTCTGTGGGCCACTGACACGAACACACACAGGGGCTGCCTCCGCAAAACAGCAACGGGGTTTAAGTGGTGCCACTTAACAGACTGCCAGCAAAATCCATGTCAGAGTGGCATTAAATACCGAGGGAGCATGCTTAATAGACTGTGACATAATCCCCCAAGCAGAGTGGGGGAAGCCCCACTGCGCTAATCATTTCAATCTAGACGTGCCAAACCCTCTTGAGACAAGCATGCAGGAGAAAGCCTGAAGCAGCGGCCGCTTGATTTCCAGGGCCTGGGCTGGCAACGCGCTGGGACGGCTGTACCACGGCCAGCCCGCCAGAGCCATCAGGGACCAGAAATCAACCACGCTGGGAGACCAACTTTGGGTGGGCACCCGGGGTGGGGGGAAAGGCGGAAAAGCCAATTCCCCGCGGAGGCTTAGTTCTGCCTGGTGCCACTCAGACTGAGCATCCAGGGCATTTGTTTCCCCTTGCAGAGCTGGTGATGATCAATTCCTCTTTTTGAGTCAAATAAGAGATCTGGGTGCCCATTGTAAGGAATGCCTACTGGGCCAACTCCACAGGTTCACCATACATCATGGGTTTGGCAAAAACAGTAAAGAAACTTCATGCTTCAAAGGAGGCTGGCCTAACCCCCCCTACCCCCCCAGTCTACAGAGGGGGCATCCTGCTTCCTTCTGTAGATCAAGTAACTTGGCCAGCACTGAGTCTTCCCTAGCGTGTCCTCTGGTATGGAATCTGAGCCTTGGTTTTCTCATCTGCAGAATGGAGTTAAGTGTAGCACCCCCTTCAAGGGGTTGTGAGGGTTAAATGAGATAACATGGATAAAACTCCTGATGTGGTCGGGGGCAGGCAAAGAGTAAGTACTAGACACATAGTAGCTATACTGGTATTAAGAACAGGAGCACACATCCATGTGGACTATCCTAAACAATTGCCAATCCTTACTGGAAAGCACTTTCTCTGTGGAGAAGCTACAGCCAACTCCCCTCAGGGACCGCTGCTAACCGCTGGCCAGCAAGCTCTTGCTTTCTTTGGCCTGTCTACGCATGTGCCATCCTCTGATGACAACACTGACAGGTCGACACCTCCCCTCTCTCAGCTTTCATCTAGGGGGTCCAACAAAGTAACCAAGTGGATGACCAAGAGGAAGAGGCCCAGGGAGCGCTGAATCCCAGGAAAAGGGGACAAAGGTCCCTGACAGAAATGAGGTTTGGCAACATGGACATCCTCTAGATGAGAGAGCTGGATGGAAGCTGAGAGGGGCCTGGGTTTATGCATCAACCTGATTTATGAGAGAGAGAGAGAGAGGAGAGATGGGCACAAAACAAAAAAGATGAAAACCCATGGGAGCAGTGGCTGTTACCTGAAGATCATGAGAGCCCTTGACAAGAGGCGGCTAGGTTAATGTGAAGGTCAGGGTCATGATCATTAACTGCCCAGACTCTCAACAAATTGCCTGGGTAGGCTCTGAATGACCCATTAACTAGGGACAAAATTACAAAAATTACAAGGAGGCTCCGCCTCTTCAAATGTTTAACGACAGGCCTAAATGCAGACGTCCGAGATCCCCAAATCCAACCTGGGGGGACAGTCGGTTACTGACAGCAAAGGCATGGAGCCTTTCCTTTACAAAACGGGCTCAGGACGCCTGTCTGAGCAGGCCCCTGGAGACCTTCTCTCGATTTAGGCCATGATGAAGCAGCCACAGGGAGGGGAACCTCACTGAGGGATTTTCAGAGGCTGGAAATTCTTGAAATAAACCTCTGGGTCTTGCACGTGTTTTTCAGTGTCCTTACTACCTAGGTTCATCAACCACAAATCAGGATCAAATAAGCACTGTGTGCGCTTGTACCTCAACATTCTCAGGAGTGGTCATAACTGGCTCTGTGATGTCACAGCATTTCCATGGCAACAGGGCCACATCACAGACCCAACCCAAGCAGCAAGCACCAACCAGCCCTGGGAGATGAGAAACCTGAGCCACACCCTGAACCCCTCACTTCAACAGAAGTGAGACAGCCTGCCCAGTGCCAGGACCCTGCCAGGAACACACCAACAAGTCAACG